CAGGGGACCCCCTACCTGCAGGACCCACGGCTCACCCCCCTGACACCCACCAGGTCCCACCAGCACCCAGGCTCACGAGGATGAGGGTGCAGGGGAGCGCAGCAAGGAGGAAGGATGCAGCACACGGTGTTCCCCCCCCCAGATCCCAAAACCACAGCCCTGCCAGGTGCTGCCCACCTAAGCAGCAAGTCACAGCCCGGCCTGCAAAAACGGCCACTTCTCCCATGAAATGAGAGGGATGAGGCTGTCCCAGCCCTGGGAGCGTTGTGGGGTGCCAGCTCCCACCAGGCACCACTGGGAGCATCAGCAACACGAGCTGGTACAGATGAGCCCTGGGCACTGACGCTGCTGTTCAGCAGAAGGGAGATCCTGGGAGGGTCCAGGGACAGACTCCGAACTGCTCAAGCCCAAAAATCACCCAAGGCACAGGGCAGGCAGGAGCCTGGCACAGTTCACGGTTGGCCATGGTCCCCCAAACACCACTTGTGACGGGGGAACGGCGCTTGCAAGCAGGAAACGAGCGCTGAACGTGCTCCGTCCTGCTTTCAACAACAAGGTACAGGTGGATAAAGCCCCAGAGGATCCCAAAACACCACCGCTCCCCCCCAGCATTAGGCAGAAAGATGCTTCTAGTTGGCTGACTTCAATCACTACTACAAAATAAATAAATTAAATTAAATTATGAGATAGAAGGAACCCCCTTCTCCCAGACTGCCCCACCAACGCCCAGTTTACAGCTGTTGTTTATTTGCTCATTTGTCTAACGGCCATCAGTACAGTCACGCTCCGTGGCAGCAGCACAGCATTAAAGTTAAGGAGGCAGGAAAGTCCTAGGTACCGCTTTCGTTTCTGAACTACATAAAATTTACCTTTTCAAAGCAAATAAAGAAACGGTGCTACCCCAAACCCCACTCGTGCACTGCCATGAGCGTGTTGGCTGGAAGAGCAGACCAAAGTCACACCAGGGACACCCAGGTGGTTACGGGCTCCATCGAGGCATCACTTACCAACACGCACTGGGGAGAGCAGGAGAAAACTGGAACCAAAACTGTCTGAATCTTTTGTTAGTTTCAGCTGCAAAACATTTGTTTGAAAATCTCTTGTACTTGAGCAGATCTGCAGTATGCAGCCGAGACCAAGACACAAGGAAGAAGATCTAATTAGGAGGAAAATATAATTAGGAGGAAGATGCATTAAAGAGGCAGATGCCAAGCCCGGGCTGGGTCCTGCCACCCTTTGCTCGCGTCTCTCTCGTTTAAAGACACCGAGCGGAAGGATGGGAAGGTGCAGGGGAGGGGTGGCCCACTCGGCGAAAATCTGGATTTATTTTCCCCCAAAGCTCATCCCATCCATTTTGACACACTATTGTCCGGTCAGAAAAATGGCCCGAGGGGAAGCCCCCTCCCTGCGGTCTCCAAGCCGGGGCAGGCAGGGGTCATGCAGCACCAGCCGAGAACAGAGATGGCTGTTAAGCCCCAGGGAACACACAAGAAAGAGAAACGTGCCACACTAACATGGTTTCTCAGGGGGATTGAGATCTGAGCCCAGTTTAATCTGGCAATACGTGGACAACTTCTCCATTTATAACATCACCTCTGGGGCCTTTTCCAGCAGAGAGGCTGGACCAGGCAGGGGCTGGAGGGTGGTGATCAAGCCCAGCAGCCCACAGCATCTTCTCCAAGTCAGGCCCCGTCAGCTGGAGTCTCCCAGGCCCAGCACAGCTACCACCAGTGCTCACCAGAACAGCTGCTCTCCTGCTGGGGAGCAGCACCCAGCTAGTAACTGCTCGTTTGCCACGTTACTCCCAGCACGGTACACAGCAGCTGTTCTGGCTATCTGCTGGAGGAGCCTCACCGCTGCTCAGCTGTCAGACACGCAGTCAGTCACTGGGCCAGTGGATTCTTCCCGGGGTTTTGAGGCAGCAGACTAATCCCTGCTTTGTTTGCGTGGTACTGACACAAGTGATGCACAGATCACACTTCAGGTACATGCAAACAGGCTTAAGCGAAAAGTGAAAGGCTATAAGCAACAGTGCCGTCTCTGAGCCAGCACGCTGCCTGGGAAAGTTCCTCCAGTCCATGACAGGGAACATCAGGGAGAAGAAAAAAGCTGGACAGTCCCTGTGTGCCCTTCCCAGAGCCAGAGCACCCTGCGTATTTCACAAACTAAGCCCCGAACTGGGGGTGGCAGAGCAGGTCAGTCACTGGTGGTAGTGCGAAGCGACAGCCTCAGCAGAGTTTAAGCAGCAGCACGGAAGGGAAGTTGAAATCTTCAGCTGGTAACGGAGTTACTGCACGAGTCTCGGGCCCCAGTCCCACTGTCTGCATGTGCATCAGGTTCCTACAAAAATAACAGGAGCTTTTTCCTAGACCTCGAGGTTTGACCCTTCCCCAGCCCAGCCTCCGAACCACATACCAACACTTGTAAAATGATCTGCATGTGCCACGTGACAGTTTGAGAGCCAGCAATAGAAGGATAAATATTCTTCATCATAACATAAATATGCTGTAGAACATCTCAACAAGGGCAAAGTGCTTTTTTTTTCTTAATTAAAACAAACCAAAAACCTAAATATGACTGTCTCAACCACAACAGAAGGTTCAACTCCTAAAACATCTGAACATTCTAAATTACACTTAAACTGACATTAAAGTGATCCAGGCAGGGTGCTCAGTCCTTCGGGACTCGGAAGTTATCCTTCTCCTTTCTGATGGCCCCCATTGTTCGGACGGGGTCGGTCTCCCCAGCATGCTGCTGAACTGTCTTCTCCCTGCCAGGAGGGAACACCAGGGACAGCAAATGCAGAGACTGCAAGATTAAATCTCATATATGAAGTCACCACTATCATGTTTCACCGGCATCAAGGGGAAACGTTGCACTTAAAGATCAAAGACTCAGGGCTTCGGCACAGGCTTATCAGCTTCCCTGGTTTAAACGCCCATTGGCGAGAGGAAACTGGAAACACTCTTGTGCCTTGAACAGCACCTTTTGCTGCGCCCAGCTGCCAAAATCTGCACCATGAGGGAAAATAATTACACAACAGAGCTTGTTCCATCTCCTTAGTCAGGATTTCACTGGTGGAGATGCTCACCACCACCCTTCAAGTTTCACTGCAGCAAGCCTCCTCCAGGGCAGCAAGTACATTTTACTGTACTTATTTTTGAAAGGCAGATGTTTTAAGGAGGGTCTTGAAGGCATCGCAACAGGAATGTGTGAGGTGGGAAAGTAATTCCTGCTTATGGCTCTTTTTTTGAGGACCTCCTCCTTCCCAGATCCCCCCTCCAAACAGAAGGCACAGAAGGGCCATTCCTACACCCACATCCCCTCCATACCTCACTCGCATGAAGGGGTTGTATGTAAACTCTTCTGCAATGGTGGAGGGTATGGTTGGCTCACCGCTGTCGTACTTGGCCTGTAATAAGGGAGAGATTTCTGCTTAATGAGGATGTTTTGGTGAACAAGAAATGTCCTGTACATCAACCACCGTGCCGCACCCAACTGCCTGAGATGCTCCTCGGGCCAGGCCCCTCCCAGGGCCACACACACAGCCGGACAGACAAGCACTCAGGCGCACAGGGAGAGACTTGGGACAGAGCTGACCCTCCCAGACAGACATGGATATCAGCCTGTAATTATACCAGGAAGTTTCCAGGGAGGGTCACGTCTCCACCAGACAGCAAACCGTCTTGTCTGGGTCCCACACAGATCCTGTTCCCCAACACATCACTCCCCTGGATGCACAACATACTGCAGCTCCTGCTCTTAACTCCCTTCCCTCAGCCTCTCTTTCTCCCCAACATTCCTTTTTCTCCTCTACCTCCTCAGAGAGGCTCTGCCTCCATGAAAGCATCAAGCCTAGAGAAAGGAGGAACCAGCTTACCTTGGCCCAAGCAAGCTTCTCCTGGATAGCGACATTATTGGGTTCAACGTGTCGAGCAAACTTGAGATTGTTGATCGTGTACTCGTGACCGCAGTAAACTCTCTAGGAAGAGACAGGAAGACACTGGGTAACTCTGAAGGTACAAAGGTGGAGTGACAGGTACCATCATTAATGTTATGGTACGGCAGGAACAACAGTCAGCCCTCCAGGACACGTGACGCTCTCCTCCGGAGACGTGCACAGGAGAAGGGCCAGGAGTTATCAGCCAGTCCTACCTGCCAATTTAACTGCAAGCCTGATGAAAGAGCCCAGAGATCCCAGCTCGCTAGCCTTTCTTTTAATAAGCAGCCCCTACTCTTTCCCCACAAAGCACAAACGTATTTCGGGTAGGTATTTCCCTCCCAGAGAACTCAAGCTATTCAGCATCAAAGACAATTCCTGATGTAAGCATTCATTCCTTCGACACGGGAGAAATCCTCTCTCTAAACAACATTATTAGGAAGACAGTTTCTTTGATGTTTGTAGTAGTTTCTGGCCCATAAAAAGAGAGGTTCATACCGTTTCGGGGTCCAAGTTGCCCAAAATCTCAATCAGCGCTCTGTACATTTCCTCTGGAGTTCCCTCGAAGAATTTCCCACAGCCAGCCACAAACAGCGTGTCACCTGCGAGGGAGGCAGGACACGGCATCAGGACCAGACAAGGCTCCTCACACCACAGCATGAGCTCATGGTCCCCGAGGGCTCAGTCCTGCCACTGCTGTCCTGGCTGCAGCTCAGCAGAAGGCACGGGGAGAGCCAGGCGACACCGCTGCCCCGCACGGGCTCCGCGCTGCACGAACCCATGCGGCAAACACAGCTTCTAAGGCAGGAAACCCCTCAGCCTCTCCAGGCAAACCATGCCAGCGCTTCCCTACCTGTGGGCAGCCTGCTGTCCTCTCCTGTCCTTTCTAGAGTGGACAAGGAACTCGTGTTCTCTTTGCTATGAAGCTGAACAAAGATGAGCCACCTCTGCGTTTTCTCCCCAGTGCTCCCTAAAATCTTGCTTAAGCCGTTACTTCTTCCATGCAGCAGCTGGTGCAAGCTCTGGAGAATGCCCGTCAGGAGAGGGAGGACATGGCAGTCTGGGGAGACTGGGCACAGCCTCATGAAGGGGGAACCCTACTCTCCAAAACAGGATCCGGAACTTGGCTACCAGAGATGGTGCACCAGCCCTCTCTTACTCCCCAGTTTTCTCTCAGTTTGGATACAGACATGAGTACAGATATACGGAAAAGCAACAGGTTTTGGAATCGGCCACAGTTTGGCCTGAGACAGTAAACCAACAGCTCTTGTTTCAAGGAAGAAAACGCTAGATGTAGGACTCATCCAGGGCTCGCTCTTCGTGTTGCTTGCAAGGTGTCCAGCAATGGTTTGCAAACCCAGAGGGGTTTCACCAGTTCCATCTACAACTACTACTTGGTAGCACTTGGTGAGGGGACAAGATGTGGAAGGTAACCAGCTGCACTGGCAGTGAGGGCTGCACGCACATCCAGAGTCAGGAGCACACACAGGCAGAGGAGTAGCTTACTTTGCAACACAGACTGCCGGCAAGGTAACCTCCCAACTCCTCACCTGTAAAAACAGCAGGTGGCTCGGAGCTATTTGGCTTAGTCACATAATAACAGATGTGTCCAGAAGTGTGACACGGCGTACAGAGGCATTTCACATTAAGAGATCCCACCTGAGAAGAAGGCAGAAGACTAGAGCTTAAGCTACCGTTTGCTAGCATTCGTATGGTTAGAAAAGAATTGCAACTATTACAGTGGTCTGGGAGTCCTACAGGCAAATTCTCACATAGCTGGCCAGTAAACATCAGCTCTGCTCCTGGGAGAGTCCAGCAAGAGGGTTTTATGGCAGGGACTTGGAAGGGAGCTGTTTCCTCCTGGCAGGTGTCTGACAAAGAGAACTGCCAGATTCTTTCATTTACATGCAGAGTGACTCAGCGTCTGGTTGGCAGCGAGAGCAAACAGATCCAGAGCAACACAAAATCCTGAACAAAGTTAATCGAGTGTAAAAAACTCCAAACAAAAATGAAGCTGAAGGGAAGAAGTGGATGACGCTCATAAAAAGGGAAGGATTAAGCACATTCATGAGGCCAAGAGGATGTTTTCCCCACAGCCCTAATTTCCAGACCTTCCCATGCACTTCTGCGCTCCCTTCTTTGCTGCTGCTCCCCCCTCCAAAAGTGCACTGCAAGACTAGAGGTGACATTCATGCCAGCCTGCACGTTTCACAGCAGTTCATGTCATCTGCCAGCACATCTGCAAACAAACAGCTGGGATCCAACAAGGTTTGCTGCTTTAGCTCTGGAAGAGCAAGGCAGGCAGCTAGTGCCGCTGGCCCACTTGCTCTTCACCCCGTAATCCCAGCCTTCGCTCAGAGAGGACCACCTGCATTTGTTCAGTGCTAACCAGGCTCTAAGCAGAGCACAAGCCCTGTCCTTTCACACCTCGGTCCTGACCGTCCCAGTTAAGGTAGCTGGGAAGGAGCACACACACCCAGCAGGCCCCAGGCAATGCAGGTGTCTGAGCCACACCAATGTCCTCATCGATGAAGTATCACCCGCCAAAACAAGACAGAGGGGTTACGGTTCACAGGGCTGGAAACAGGCAAGAGCTCTATGTAAACTATCAACTACATCCAAGAGATGTTAAAAAGTCAAAGAGCTGTGACCACATACTAACTCGAGTTGGATCACACTGGTCCAGCTCTAAAGCTGTGACACAGACGGGAATTGCCCCCACACAAGTCCTGCAGTTCACTCCCTTTACCTTGAGTGACGTCAGGTGAGACACTTTCTGGGTCAGTGCTCCGACTCTGCTGTCTCCCCCATACACACGCAACCCCGTCTCCATCTTTACGAGCTTCTCGTTTCCTCCAGCGTGGTCCCTGGAAGGTCAGAAAAATGGACTTGGGCAGGGTTGAAGACGAATTTGTCATAACTCATATTACAACGGTAACCTCCAGGTGATCATTTCTGATCAACTGTTCTCCCAGTATCTAACACTGTCCTCATATCAAAGAATATGCCACATCTACACAAGCAGAGATAATTTCTCCAGTAACTAGGGCAGAGAGAGGGGGACAACGTCCCACATGTTCATACCTAGTTGGAAAACACCAGCCTCAGGGGCTCACAGTCAACTCTCCAGTAACTAGGGCAGGAAGAGATCGGGCTAACTGGGATACATGTAATTCAGCGTTCCACAAGATACCGTGGAGCAGGCACACAGATGTCCAAACAGCTCAGCATTTGCTTGCAGTGCTGGTCCTGCCAGACCAGGGCAGGCTCTCCAGCCACAGAGGTGGCTCCACTATGACCCACGGGAGAGGTTACTCAGGTTCAGCAAAACATTCATCTTTAGGTCACTGGCAGAGTTAATCTGAAACTCAGGTAATCCTCCCCAGCAGTGTGCCTCACAGGCACACGTCCCAGCACCTCCAAGAGACTGTGCTCTCTCCCGAGCTCCACAGCTACCTGCACACACACTTACTTCACTGGCCACCTGGCCAAAATCAGCATTTTAAAGGTTAAAGGCACTGACACACAGAGCTTGCAGCTGAGATAACGTATCTGGTCATAGCAAGCCCAAGGCAACTCTCCCTGAGCTATGATCCTTCTCCTCACACCTGAGCTCCTGCTTAGAGAAGACCAACCTGATCCAGAAAAGCAACAATTCTTGACGGCTTGTTCTTATGCAGAGGGAGGAGGGATCTCACTACAGCAGATAGTTACCAGTGATGGTGTGTGGTCAGGACGGTGGTCAGCTTCACGCCGTGCTTTTTGACTGCATCCAAAACCTGCAAGCACGGGGCAGAGCAAAAGCATTACGACCCGCATGAAATGACTTCACAGCAAACCCGGTGCCTGCCGTAACTTGGACACAACTGCTCCAAGGTTTGAGAGCCACACCAGCAACTCTGCAGAGAGCTCATCCCTCTCCAAGTCATAGTTACAGATCAGGACACGATGTCTTTGATCCAGCTAGCCATGACTAAGCCCTCAGTCCTGTTTCCTCTTTTCTGCACTGCATCAAACTAAGGGCAAAGAACAAAGCCAGGTCGATAACCCTTGAAGCCAGGGACAAGCTGTCGGAGCCCAGAAGCAGACTGCCTGTGGAGCACTGTCCATACCTATGCATGGCCAGTATTTCCTGCCTTTCCTCCACCCTGAGTCAGTGTGTGACTAATTCTCTCATGGATGTGGCAACCTGGAAGGATCTCCCAGAGTCTCACAGGGCAGCAGACAGCATTACCTTCTGGGGCTGCACAGGATCAACTATTGCAGCCTCCTTCGTTTCCTCATCGATGAGGAGGTACATGTAGTTGTCTGTGAGGGCTGGCAGTAATTCCACCTTCATGTTGCCTTGTGTGACCGTCTTCGACTTCCTCCGCTCGTGCTCCGTGTGCAGGAAGACAGCTCGCAGCTGCGCCGGACCTGCGGACCCCAAAACAGTCAAACCTCAGGTTAGCCCAGGGAGGGGAACAACTAGCCCAGGGCACGGCAAGTCTCCCAGCCCACAGCCCCAGAGAAGGAAGGGTATGGACAGCCCAACCTGCTTCCTTCAGAGGAAGAGGAGAGAGGCCACCATGGAACAAGGTGGTAGTGCCTGGCTGTGTCACCCTGTGCCCCGCAGCGCGGGCGGCTCCCGGTGCTGCCCAAGAGGACGGGACACTTTGCTCCCAGAGATGTGCTCACACGGACAAAGCACTGTACCTTGACTGGAGAGAAGATTTCAAGGGGCAGGAAAACAGAACGGAGAGGGAACAGTGGACAAAGGTCAGGCTGGGACAGTGACTTTGCAAAAAAAGCACAAAAGGCCACGTTACAGCCAAAAGGCAAAAAAGGGGCAGGGGGGAGGGGAGAAATACAGAAATACACATACTGCTTCTACAGAAGTATCTGGTTCATTACTGGGGGCAATCACATCCTGCCCAGTGCATGGAAAGAAGACAGGCCCTCCGCATGGGAGGCAAGGCTCCCCACCTGGGCACGTACCAGGCACGCACTGCAGGCGGGTTTCTTGCTCACGGGCTACCTGGATGCAACAGCAATGCTTCCCTATTTGCTTTTGGTTAAATGTTTAAACAGATGCAAGAAGCAAATCTAATTCCAGCTGCAAATAACCCAGGCTCCACTGTTCAACTCACAGATACACAGTTGTTGAAGAAAAACCAAAGCCCAAAGAGGCTCTGCCATAAAAAATAAAGGGAAAGGAAACAAAGAGGACAAGGTCTTCCATTGCTGGGGCCCTGCAATTCAGGCCTGGGTCCATATGCACACAGGGAAGAGGCGTCAGTCTCAACAAGTCAGAAACGAGGTGTCGCCGTGCCCAAGGCCCTCGCTCACCACCGAAGGTGACCGCGTTGGTCAGAGCCGCGCCGGCTCAGCCGCTGTTTCATCCCGCATCACTGACTCTCTCCCTAAGGCTCCCGACGCTCCGCTTGGTGCTCGGCCACCTCCATCGGTGCCAAAGGGAGGGGTCACCACGCTCCTAATCAACCACCCCACTCTCCCAGCACAGGCCAGTGCTGCCCACCCCTGATAAGAGCCTGCTTTTGAGAGAAGGCGCCGCGCAGACTGGCTGCAGCCAACGCAGACAGCCCCTCCGCAGCTCCACGGACCGACAACGCTGCAAAACCCAGATCCAAGCTCTCACCATGGCATGCACCTGCTCCTGCTGCAAACCCAGCAGCGGGAGCTGTAAGGCCCCTCCGGGACAACTGTCCTGCTCAGAACTTTTTCCCCTTCTACCTCCACCATCTCACTTGCTTATGGGGGAAGGGAGGCAAGGAGGGGAGATGGCAGTAAAATTAAACACAGTGCTGCAAAGAAAACGCCAAAGCATGACAGCGTAGGCATGCACTGAGTATTTGACGGTGAGGACACGTAGTATTGAGAAAAGCATCCATACCTGCTGAGTGTTCCTCTGGAGCAGAAGAGTCCTTTCAAAAAAAGAACACAACAAAAAAAAAACACCTTACTATTTCTTGATAGGAAAAAAAAAAAAAAAATCAACTGCTCTTTAACTGCCCCCTAACATGAAGCACTTTTGGATGCTATCAGTCACAAGAGCTATATATACTGCATGTTTGTTTGCATGCTAGACACTAACTGGGGAAAAAAAACAACCACAAACAAAAGAAAACACAACTTGAAGTTAAAGTCAAAGGAATTACTCACATACTTAAAATGCTTTCTTCCTATGAACCATTTCTAACCTTGGCCATGATCCCAAAGTCTCTCTGCATGTTTAAGTCACAATTCTTGCAAAACAAACAAACAAGCTACACCACATAAGGAAATGTTTTCTAAAATGAATTGAAACAAAGGACTGAGAAAACAACCACCAAGTATGAAACTCATTCTGAATTCCCATCTGCAGCTAAGCTGCACCTTTCCAGAGCGGGCAGGCAGCAGTGCTCTCACGCACGCCCAGCGCTGCTCCTACGAGAAGGGCGTTCTCAGAGCCCGCTCTGCTCAAGGGGGCTCCCCCAGGACACATAACCCCAGCACTAACAACACATCCTTTCGGGATCGCCATCATGCACGCAGGTCCGCTCCAAAATCAACGCCCAATGACTTCATTTTCACTTGGTTTTGTAACGCGTCCCTCCTGAAGCAGAGAGGGCTGGAGAGAGCAGAACGCCATCAGCCTCCGAATCACACGCTGCGGTGTTCTGGAACGGCTCCTTAGTGCAGCTTAAGTCACCAGGAGGAGAGGGTTTGCCAACGGGAAAGGTTAACGTTATCGCATAACGCGTACATGCCGGAGACTGAAGGCAAGCAGGCAGCAGCACAGCTTTAGCAGTAGGCTCCCTCAGAAGATGGATGCTTCCTACGTTTTCCCTGTAGCATTTTGGTTCACTTTCTTTATTACAGAAAAGAGTGGAAAATTCCTATTTCAAACATGGCTGTCACTCCAAAATGACTGCTCATAAATACTCAGATGAGAGTCCCTGTGTTGCATAAGAAGAAACACGACATTCGCTTACTGCGTACTCTGCACACAGATGTTTTTTGGATGCCCAGCGAGTCTGTGGCTCCACACACCCCAGGTAACCCCCGCTTCCACTTGACTTGCCCGCCTGGCACACG